TACATACTCGACTGGACAATTCCTTACCTATGATGAACTTTGTAGGTAGTAGTTATATTTATTCTACTACTCCGCTGACATTTTGTGTCCGTTCTGTGCCGTTTGAGCTCATTTGTGTTGTGTTCTCTTGAGTTGTGTTACGTTTCTGTGGTGTTTTTGTATTCTTTTTCTTTTCTTTTCGCTCTTCTCTTTTAGTCCCGACCTGATTATGGTATCAAGGAATGTAGCGCATCTAGGAGTGCATATAATGAATAAATCAATAATTTCCCCACTATATGCTAGCACTGCTAGCACTTTAGGCCGAGTACCAACTGCCTTTGGGTTCACTTCACCCATATCTAGCTGTCAGTGAGGTGAAAGTCTTGAATTAACTGCAAAGTAGTATCGTCATTGGGCCGTGGGATACTTCGTGACGCTGAAGAATGGGAGACTCGTAAAATAGGAATCTTTAACCGGAATTCGAAGTCTCCTACTTGACGTTTCTCAGATTACTGCACATTCTTATTCTAACTGCAAAATTTCTCTGGATATTTTGCTGCAGTCTTTTAAACTTCATCGCCCTCAAACAAAGAATGGGAAACGGGTCAGTTGGCTCCAAGCTTACCATCCCCGATATCTACCTTGTAATGTAAATCGCTACTGAGAAGAATGAAACCTGCTTTTAGAAAGCATCACGACGGAATTCCTTGAATGCACCACAATAATTACGATAATTCCACGTAATTATCTTGCGAGAACCCTATTTACAAAATGTTTCCCAAAAAGTCTCTAACGGGAAAATGTGTCAGACACAAATGTGAAGTCAGATACCAATACAAAACTTCGGATTCGAGAACTCGGAAACTTTCTCCGAGTTCCATTAAGAACAGTCACTGTGACACCTATGCAAGATGATGATTCCATCCCGCTTTTTCTTGTTTTTTTTTACTTCTGATTGAAATCACGTCACTGTTATAACACCTTTTTTCAGTGATTTCGAAAGGGAAACCAGTGTCCTATTGTGAAAAAAAAGAAGAGTATTGTCGCAAGAAAATGTAAAGATAGTGGTATTAATCAAGCGTGAAAGATTCGACTTGAAATCGCGAAAGAAGAATAGATAGACGGTGGATGCTGCTACGGATTGAAAGAAAGGAAGAAAAAAATCAATCTTGAAAGAGACCCCTTCAAAACATCCCCTTCGACATTTGGACTTAAATAAGTATAGGTATAGTACTCCTATATCTTCCCTTATAAGAGAAAATATAAGAGTTTTCGCGAGTGAATTTGGCTCTTCGTATCTTCTCAATATAGTCGCATCGTCGTTTTGTAACCCCTTCTTTGCGTGACCAATGATCACTTTGAGCGGGAAACAAAAGAGGGACAGCCCGCGCATTCTCGAGATAGCTTCGCAATCGGCAATCCTAACGGGACCCCCTCCTCACATTTTTTTTCTTTTCTCCCATGTTTTTCATGTTTTTCTCTGTCCACTTGTGGCTTTCTGTTTGAGATTTCTTTTTTTGTAAGTTCAGTTGGATTTAGTCAGTGATTTTTTTGAATGGAGGAGGTTCAATTTGTTCTCGAGGTTTTGGAGTCTTGCGATGCCCGCCTTGTTCTACCTTAACCGAGCCTAGCTCACAATTGGAACAGTTTAGACTATCTCATGTTTTTGCAATCATCCTTTTAACAGTTTTTATCTCCAGAATATGCTTCACGATAAAGTTCACAATCAAGGAAAGGACAGCGAGAGCGAGAACAGTACACAAATTAGTTGAAAACAGTGCTGGATGAGGGTTTGAAGAGAGTAGGAACTCAGGAAGCTGGTCAAGTTTTGGAAGTTTAGCACTCCTGCACCAGTGAGGGTCGTGTGAGCGAAAGGCTTTTCAGGGAGTAAAGGGTAATCAAAGGCCATAGAAATAATGCCTAAGGGAAGCTCCGAAAGGTCGGTGGATGGTCAATTGACCAGAGGATTGCAAAAAGTAAGTACTGCCTGAGGGGAGTAAGGAGATGGGAGTGGCCCCGTAAAATGCGGGGGCCAGACGAAGTGTGCGTTCATCTCTCTTCTTGTATTTTCGTTCTCGTGGACGAAGCTGGAGTTCTGTAGGAACTCATCCACCAACTCTCTCCTCCTGCTCCCTCTGAGTACGGCCTAAGTGGACACTAGCCTGAGTGGCTCTTTAACGGGTCAGTGGGACCTAGAGATTAGGTTATCGTCACGGCACGGACCAGTTCGACTCTCGGGAGCGGCATCTCACTTCCACGCCACCCACCTGCTCTACGACAGACTCCTTCTCTACAACTTATTCCAT